ACCATTCTCTTGATTCAAGAGTCTTTCTCTTCTTATCCCCGAGCATTTCGGTCCCTCGTGATTCGACTTTTCTTTCTGTGGTTTTAGTATATTAAGGTGAGTGCTGAAGCGCTACAAGAATATTTAGTTCTGCCCCTGCAAAGTCCGGTTTCTTGCTAAACCACCTATAAGTAGAGTTATGCTTACTGTGGTTTAAGTATAACTTATGTTTAAGTTCATTATCGTTACTATGAACCTATAAACAAGATTTATCAGTAATTCCAAGTCATTATACTGATTGATCTACTTAAGGGAGAGGTGTCTAGAATGGTCACGTTGGCTTGGTTGTTGGATTTCATAAAAGCTATATGTTGAAATGGTCCTGCCTCCCAACTACCCTGCCTGGCTGATCCTTACTTGATAGATCTTGAAGTAGACTTTAAATTAATGATGAATCTAGACTAATAATTATTCGCAATAAATTTATTTCTAGAAGTGAAAATTTTATAACTTGTTAAGACCTATATAAGTTGGATGGTGTCACTATTGTGAAACTCGTAAGTATCAACACCCAAAAATTTGAACTAAAGCCTTATCTTCTTTCTTTTTCTTCCTTATTGAGAGTTTAGATGGATAGAAAGATAAACCATTCTATAGATTTTTATGAGAACTAGAAGCAAACTTGAAACATCCTTTAAGGTTTTAGATTACATCATCAACTAAAAAGAATCGAAAGGTGTCATTTCACTTAGTTCTCTATTTTCAAGTTAAGGTTTGGGGATTTTCCCCAAATCTAAAATCTGATATTATCTGTAACATCCGGATTTCCAGGTATATCATTTGTTATTATTTATTATTTATCTTTTGAGCTACTCGACGAGTCGGTGCTCCAACTCGTCGAGTAGAGTCGCGATGTGCCACGTGGGACTAATGACCTACTCGACGAGTCCGAGAGCCGACTCGCCGAGTAGGCGTTGGAATGAGAAACCCTAAATCCCCGGGTTTAGAGCCTATTTAAAGGCACATATAGCCTCATTTGCGGCTACCCTTCCTTGAGAGCAAACCCTAAACGACCTTTGAGCCTAGAGAGAGAGTGCTTTGCTAATTGTGAGTGTTTAGTGCATTTTGTGAAGAGAAGAGAAGATTTCCAAGCCAAGGGACAAAAGGGTTCTGCTAGATCTGAGGTTGTTTCACTTCAAAGCTTCTGGGAAAGGTATAAAGCTTGCACCTTTCTCATTATTTTGTATATATCTCATGATTTGTGAATCTAGGGTTTTTCCACCCAAATATGAGGACCTTGAGTGTTCCATGCTCATTGAGAGTGTTGAACTTCAGATCTGGACCATGTGAGGTCCCTAGAGTCCAAAAGTCCCTGCTATATCCAACCATAATAGTGATCTTGAGTGAAAAACCCTTTTGGGGTGTTTTTTGGCATTTTAAGCTCAAAATGCCATCCATGAACGTAAAGCCTGTGACTTTACGTGATAGATGAGCCTTAGGAGTGTAGATCTAGAGTTTGGGGAGGTTTTCTGCTTTGAAAACGATTGAATGAGAGATGAGTCTGAATAGACTCGCCGAGTCAAGAAGCCGACTCGACGAATCGGATGGGGTTGTCCCGATGGTTTTGATCGTGCAGCAACTCGGCGAGTTGACGGGTCAACTCGACGCGTTGAGCCAGACTTTTCAGTGATTCTGTGGATGGCGAGCAGACTCGTTGAGTCCCATGAGTGTACTCGACGAGTAGGGTCAACATGGACTGTTGACTCGAGTTTGACTTCTGTTGACTTGGGGTTTGGTCAAACCTATCTTTGGGAAACCATGGAAGGGTAAATTGGTCTTTTCCTACTGCAAGAGACAGAGAGAGAGAGAGAGAGAGAGAGCTTAGGAAAAATGTGTAATTTAAAGAGTTAATTAGATATAATTATCTTATGTGATTAGGAGGAGGCTAGACTTGGTGATTCGTGTGCGAGAGTATTCATCCACTTAGCTTACTTACGAGGTGAGTCTTCTCACTATACTTACCAAGAGTGGTATCCTTACGTGATTGAGCTGTTTTACGTGTTTATCTGTGCATTGTTATATTTTGCATTATCTCTTGCGATTATTGCTGAATATTGTTGCTATGAGTTTACTGAGTTGGAACCGGAGGGTTCCACTAAGACACATTGACCGGAGGGTCTTATTTAGTTATGGCCTTGAGTGGCTAATGAGTTGTGTCTGTTATTTTGGGGAACTCACTAAGCTTCGCGCTTACCGTGTTATGTGTTATGTGTTTCAGATACTTCCGATGATCGCGGGAAGGCCCCGACATGATTGTACACACACTCGCATATGGAGATATATTTTGGAGGGTCCTGGTTTATGTGATAAACAACTTTTGATAAATAAATTGTATAAATGCTTATACTTGAGATTTTTGGGAAATATGACATGTGATTTTTATGTTTGAAATGAAAAAAATTTGGTTTGAAAAATTTCGGTGTTACATTATCTATGATATTTTAGTTTAAATTCTAGTTAGTTTTAGTCATTAGAACAATTATACACCTTCAATCAACTCATCCATTGGTTTATTTGGAGTTAAATGGTATTTTGGAAGCTTCAAAGCTCTAACAATGATGAAATCTAATTTTCAGAATTCTCTCACATGAAATTGATGTTAGTTTTGACTTAACTTTAAGTTCCTAAACTCCGTTTGAGCTTTGGAATCAATAAATGAGTGATAATTACACTTATGGATATAATTTGAGATTTTATTCTGACTTATGTGTAACGTCCGATTCCTGGTACGTATTTACTTATAATTTATTCATTTTTGAAGAGCTACTCGACGAGTTGGGAGCCCCAGACTTGTCGAGTAGAAACGAGATTGGACGCGGGATCTTAAGCCACCTACTTGACGAGTTGAGAGCCTCGACTCGGCGAGTAGGTCTGCCAGAATGAAACCCTAATTTCGGGGGTTTGCACCCTATTTAAGCATCTTAATCCCCACTTGTTGGCCTCATTTCCAGCCTCCAAGTCCCAAACCCTAATCCACGAAACCCTAGAGCCTTTTGTGAGTTTATGAGCCATTTTTAGTGAACTTTGTGCATTTGAAGCTTGTGAAAAAGAGAAGAAGCTTGGAGATTCAGAAGGAAGCTAGTAGATCCAGAAACAACTTCTCATCCTCTTCATTTTCTGGTAAGCAAGTCTCAACCTTGCTTAGTAGCTTGTTAGATCTTTTCTTTGTCACTTTATAGGGATTATGGTTCAAGAAACTTGGTCCTTGGGAAATGGACGTCCCAAGTGTTCTACCTTCCAGTCTGGGGTCTAGAAGGGGTTTCATGGCATAAAGGTGCAAACTTTATGACCATGGAAGCCCCATGCAAGCTTTAAGGTGTTATTATGGCCTTTTAAGCCCCAAAATGCCATGCATGGAAGGAAATTTAGGAGCTTTACGTG